CTCCCTAGCACTAGGTTCCCCCTTGAAAGCTTGTAAGCCAGTCACTTCTTGCCTTTGTAGTTCCCCCCTCCCCATTTGAGTATCCAGTGTCTCCGTCCACTCTGTGTGTGGAGGGGGTGGGAATGATTCTTGCTGTAAGGATTTGTTCATTCTTACGAGTTGCTGCTCCATAGGTATAGGTCAAGTTCATCAGACTGTATCAGTTCACACTTTTTTTTTCCCCTTCTTTTCTTCTCCTAAAAAATTTTTTTGAGGATAAAAGATTAAAACAACAAAAAACGAATTCCCATGTACAAAATGACTAGGCATTTTAAAGCTTATGCTTGCCTCCTATACATAGATAGCTACTGTAACCACTTAACCTTTGTCACCAGAGTCACTTTTAAGAAAACATTTTTTGCAGTTATATGTGGCTTTGGGGATTAGAAGGAAGGAAAGCAGGAATAGAGAAACCTGATTCTGGGGACAGGTTTCTAGACAGAGCATGGTATGCCTTATTGGCAGCCCTACCCCAAATAAGTGCAAATACTGCTGTTCTGTTTCTCTGTGCTACACTTGTTTAGGTTATCTGCTAAGTAATTTTAATTAGTCCTCTTTCTGTGAAAAGCCCACACCCATGAGAAGATTTGACTGAGTCATTTACATGTCACTCTAAATTGATTCAGTTGTTTAACAGTGCTGAGATCTCTTTGAGGAGTTTAAGGCAACAATGTTTAAGGGACTTGGATGCCTGGGGAAAGGTCATCACTAGACATGAAAGTTACATGCTGAAAAGGTAAAGGGGGAATGTCAGATATAAGCATTAATTTATTTACAATTTAAAATTCTTGGCTTCATTCGTGCTTTTATCTTTTGATGTAAGTATTTTTCATTTTTATAGGTAAAGTGGAGAATTGTAATGAAGAACATGAAAAGAATAGTCACCATATTTATGAAAATGCTGAAGACAGTAATAAGAAACCCAGTGCAGAAACTGTAGTGACTTCTGGATATAAAACTGATGCAATCAAGGAAACAAATGATACTTGGAACTCCCAAGTTGGGAAAAGGTCAGAGTCTCAACCAGAAATATCTCCAATTAAGGGATCTGTAAGAACTGGTTTGTTTGAATGGGATAATGATTTTGAAGATATCAGATCAGAAGATTGTGTATTAAGTATTGGTAATGATCCTCTTGTGGAGATGAAGGATGAGGATTGTAAAACGCCATTGGAAAATCTAAATGAAGCCATTGAGGAAGACATTGTGCAAAGTGTTCTTAGGCCAAGTAACTGTAGGACGTATTGTAGGGCCAACAAAGCAAAATCTTCGCAAGGAACATCAAATTTTGATAAGCTGTTGGATGGCACCAATCAGGCCTTAGCCAAAACAAACAGTGAATCAAGTAAAGATGGCCTGAATCAGGCAAAGAAAGGTGGGGTAAGTTGTGGGACCAGTTTGAGAGGGACAGTTGGACGGACTAGAGATTACACTGTTCTGCATCCATCTTGCCTGTCAGTTTGTAACGTCACCATACAGGATACTATGGAACGCAGCATGGATGAGTTCACTGCATCAACTCCTGCAGACTTGGGAGAAGCTGGCCGCCTAAGAAAAAAGGCAGATATTGCAACTTCTAAGACCACTACTAGATTTCGACCTAGTAATACTAAGTCTAAAAAGGATGTTAAACTTGAATTTTTTGGTTTTGAAGATCATGATGACACAGGAGGTGATGAAGGAGGTTCTGGAAGTTCCAATTACAAAATTAAATATTTTGGCTTTGATGATCTCAGTGAAAGTGAAGATGATGAAGATGAAGACTGTCAAGTGGAAAGAAAGACAAGCAAAAAAAGAAGTAAAACAGCGCCATCACCCTCCTTTCAAGCTCCCCCAGAAAGCAATGATAACTCTCAGGACAGTCAGTCTAATACCAATAACGCAGGTAGGTTTCGTGTGGGTTTGTTTTTAAATTAGATGAGGTAGATGTCTTTTGCAGGCTAATTCAGCAGCTACTAGCTGCCACCAGAAAATCAATTGTAGCCTGTCACATTTAATTTTAGTAGAAGTACCTATTTAGACTTAAAGGCACAACTTTTAAAATGTTAAGTGATTAAGTTTCAAATAGTAAGGAACTGATTTGAGGAGTCCTTTCATGTTTATCTAGGGATGCAAAATATCTTAATAATTCTACTTTGAAAATCCAAATGTAATGGAGACATAAGGATAGATTTTTTTAAACATTTAGAACTAATTGTTATTAAAAAGTAATGAACGAAAAGCAGTAAACCCGGTATTTGCAGATTCCATATTCTGTCTATTCACTAAAAATATCCAGAGTATTTTCAAAAGGCATTCACAGGTATACGCAGAATGGCAAAAAAAATTCCCAGCTGAGGTCAAATAGCTGATTTGGTGTTCTTCATTCATTGTTTGCTGGAATGTTATAGAGTGTTATAGCAGTAGCAATCAACTGTATTAGAAAACTAAAGTTAATAAAAATCCCTTGCATTTGGCTCAAAACGAATTAACTAATAAACATTTAAAAAATGTTAAACCTTCTGAAATTAATATAAAATTAAAAATTGCCAGTCAGTGAAAATTTAATTTGACTTACTAAGATAGTAGACTCAGAAATGACTAGAGGCCTTCTCAGGAAGTGCATAGTCTTCATTGTGAGAGACAAACAGAAGAAGTAGGTTGGCCACTAAAGTCTAAGGAGGGCTTTGTGAAGGGAATTGCCTGTTGAATGACCAAGAATATGGGGAAATCTTTGTTTATCTGTGGTGGTGGTGGTGGTGGTGGTGGTGTGCCATGGAGTCCGTTCTGATTCATGGCGACCCTGTATAACGTTTCTGAGGCTGTAAATCTTTACGGGAGCAGCTGGTAGTTTCGAACTGCTGACCTTGAGGTAAGCAGCCCGACTTGTAACCACTACACTACCAGAGCTTTGTTCATCTGTATCGTTGTTAAATATAACTTTTGTCCTGTTTATCTTAAAGAAAAGTCTATTATAATATTTTGAAATATAGACTCTCAGTATTGACCTAAAAATAGTTTTGCCAGTATAAAATTATTCTAACTTTCAAAACAAGAATTTTCTAGAGTTCGTAAGGAAGGAACTGTAATGGCTCAATGGTTACGCACTCCGCTGCTAATTATTTGCTGATTGGAATCCACCAGTGGCTTGGTAGGAAAAACCCTTCCGATCTGCTCCCAGAAAGTTTACAGTGTCGGAAACCCTGTGGGGCAGGTCTAGTATGTCCTGTAGGATCACCATGAGTTGGAATTAACTTGACAGCATGTAAGTCACTAGGGCCCACCCATTTCCCCAGCCAGTCCCCCCTCAGTGGGTTAAAAAAAAAAAGTTAATGGGATCGTGAGAATTCATCTGATGGATCCCTTCAGAAGCACTGAAATCCGCATCAGCTTTGCCTAGCCTTGCCTGGTCATCTAAGGTCTAGCTAGCAGGAGCAGCTCTATGGCGCCTGTCTGGCTGCACTGCTGCAGTACTTAGTAGTTCTTGTGCTAACCTGGAAACAGATTGTCCTTAGTGGGCAACTGAAAAGCTAGTGAAATTCACATCTTGAGGTAATCTAATTTTTAAGACTTTAAAAGATGAAGTCATTGTTGTTAGCTGCTGCCGCCAAGGAATTCCTGTTCCTGGCTGGTGAGCCCATGTGTGCAGAGTAGGACTGCTCCTGCTCTGTAGGATTTACCTTTTGGAAACGGAGAGCCAGGCCTGCCCTCTGAAATGCCTGTGGGTGGGTTTGAACTACCAACCTTTTGATTAGTCATTAAATGCTTAACTATTTGTACCACTCAAGGTGCCTATGAAATTGGTGGTGGTCATGAGTGGGTGCCATCGAATCGGCTTTTGACTCCTAGTAACCCCACGTGACGTGGCAGACCTGCCCCACAGGATTTCCTGGGTTGGAGTCCTTGATCGCAAGGTTGGTTTAAACTGCAAGGTTTGTGGTTCAAACTCATCAGCCACTCCTTGGAAACCCTCTACAGGGACGCTATGGGTAGGAACTAGATGGCACTTAACAACATCTTTACAGAAGCAGATCAGTAGATCTTTCTTTCATGAATTCACTGGATAGGTTCAAATTGATATGAAATCATTAGACTCCCTTTAAAAAAACTTGAAATAACATCTAAAAATTAGAGAACATGTAATTGTAATACCTAGTTAGAGTTTAAGTCGTCATATAATATGCCAAAAGCATTTTCTGAAAGAAAAAAAAAAGTTGTTTTTTTTGAGAATCTATGTATATAACAAAACCATACCAATTCAAGTTTCCAGTTTCTACATGTACAATTCAGTAACACTGATTATTCTTCAAGTTGTATTCTCATCCTCCTTTTTTGAATTGTGCCGTCCCCATTGACATAACTCACAACCTCTGATGTAGGATATTCTTACTCTGTCCCTGCAAAAAGTGTACTGTCATTAAGTGGGTTCTGATTCAGTGACCCTCCAGGATAGAGCTGCTCCATCGGGCTTTCAAGATTGTGACTCTTCAGAGGTGGGTGCAGGCAGCCTCATCTCTCTCTCCTGAGTAGGCCAACCTTGTGATTAGCAGCTCAGTGTTGAACCCACTCTGCCCCTTTAGGCACATTTTCCCACTTAGAGAAGTATGCAAAACTAGTCTGTTCTCTGGAGATTGCCATCAATTTAAGAACCCAGGAAAACTGAGGACCTGTCTGTGTCTAAAGATGTATGTTTTTTTTCTACTGATTCTTGTCAAGTGCCATCGAGTCGATTCCAACTGACTACAACCCTGTGTAGTGTTTCCGAGGAACGACTGGTGGAAATGAACCACAGAATTTGCAGTTAGCAGTCCAGTGCTTATCCTACAGCACCACACCAGGACTCCTATTATTCTTATTATTGATGTTGTTAAGTGCCATCGAATCATTTCCAACTCATCACAACCCTTTATGGGGTTTCTGAGGGGTGGCTGGTGGGCTTGAACCACTGACCTTGGGGTTAGCAGTCTAGTGATTCTCCTACAGTGGCGCACCAGGACTCCTATTACAGTATCTACAAAATATTTTGAATGGTTGAGATAGAAAACACTTCCTTTCTTTAGGTTAGAAAATACACTATATGGAAACTAATTGGTTTTGTGGGAAGACCCACAAATGACTGACCGCACTGTGTTTACTTAGGGCAGCTAATGGACTTTGTGAAGGAAGGGGCTCCTATTTTTGTTCTTTCAAATGTCTTATTACTGGACTTTGTGATATTTTTAAGCAGGAATTCCACAAAGGTTAATACAATTTAGTAGCCTTAAATTCTAGGAAAATGTTAAAGGAGGGTACCAACTGATGTTTTCTTTTGTGTCTATGTGTGTCTGTGTGTGTTTAAACTAGTGTTACTGTCTACAGATAGCTAATAGGTTTAAGAGCTATGAAAAATCAAGTGGTGGTACTTCGGGAAGTTTTGGTTTTGGCATAGACATAAAATATTACTTACACACAGCAACTAGGATTATGATTTTCACAGGACTTCAAACCAGTTTGAAGTGATTCAGTCATGGCTGATGGAAACAAGGCAGTATTATACTGACTAGCAACCAAATCTCCTGTGCGTCTAATGTTGATGCTAGTGGACGACAGGCAGTGGTGTGACAGACACACATTCAGTGTGGCATGGTTGGCTGCCATCTTTGGGTCACCGCTGCCTGTTGTCTGTGTGAGTAAGAATCTGTAGTGTACGAGATTTGGTTGCTATGCAATGCATATGCAGTCTTTGTTTCTGCTTGCCATGACTGAACTGTTTTGAACTGGTTCAAAGCTCTGGATGTTCGTTTAGAGGAGATAAGCAGTGGTGAGCATGGAAGGATGTGATTTGGCTATTTCTTAAACTGTTTGGTGCCTTTAGTCTTTTACAGTATGCCAAAAACTCTGCATACATTGTCTGTTCGATAATTTGAAATACTTGAAAGCTAGCTAGTTTTGGTTACCATTTCAGAAAACTTGGATTTTACAGAGGACTTGCCTGGTGTGCCTGAAAGTGTGAAGAAACCCACAAATAAACAAGGAGATAAATCAAAGGAAAATACCAGAAAGATTTTTAGCGGTCCTAAACGGGTAAGTAGAAGTACCACCAGTGATTTTTACTTAGTTATTTTTTGGAAGGCTCAACTCTTAACTAATTTATTTAAAACTTTCATCGGGGCAAAAGGTTCAGCATAGCTATTGAGATTGATTTGCTTGAGTTTCCCTCTTTTTTCTTCAAACAAACAAACAAACAAACAAACAAACCCTCTCTTTGAATAGCTTGTTAGAGTGATAGTTTTGTTATTGAAAATTGTGTTTAGAAGTTGGCAATACCTTTTATTTTTACAGGTTGAATTACTTTTAAGCATTGAATGAGTTTGTCTAATTTTTGTGGCTTTATTTTTTTATTCTCTTTTTACCTTTGTAAACAGTCCATTTGGGAATCTGCAAAGCAATTGTAGTATATTTTGCAAGCTCAGATGCCCCTCAACAACTTCAACCCCACCCCAAATCTTGCTTAATGCTAACTTGTTCTGGAGCAAAGTTTTGTGATGAAAGACTGTAGTCTTTAGTGTTTAGGTAAGACTCCTGGTTTTCAAGTTGTGTATGGCATGTGTTGATTTCCAGAGCAACCATTCTCATAGTTCTTAGAGTTTCTTTACACTTTTGAAAATACTGTTGAGGGTCCCAAAGTGCATTTGTTTAAATCGATCATATCTATTTATAACACTAGAAATCAAAACACATTTTAAAGATATTTATTATTAATTGATAATTTATTTTAATAAAACATTTTAAGGAAAAATTATTTTTGTAAGACAAAAAATTAGAAAAGTCACGTTGTTTGATATATTTGGTAAATCTGCTTAGTGCCTGGCTTGCATAAAAGCTGGTTCTCATGACTGCTTCTGCACTCAGTGTGTTTTGCTACATGGTTTTGGCTGGAATACATAAAGAAAATTCAGCCGCATACAAATAATATACTGTAGGTATGTGTGTATGTAGTCTTTTCTGGTGATTGTGGATTTTGACTTATGATACTGTACCAAAAAGTGGACTTGATTAAGTGCAAGTTGCAATCTAAAAATATACTAATGTACCTGTTATGTTAAAACTTTACTAGTCACTCTAAATGGAATGAGTCTATTTACCATGCATGCTTTGTAATGCCATGTTGTTGTTAAGTACCGTCGAGTCAGTTCATTTCATAGTGAGCCTATAGAGGGTTTCTGAGCAGCAGCTGGTGAGCTTGAACCCTCAACTTTGCAGTATAGACTGAACTTGCAGTCCAGAGCATTAACCCACAGCCCAACACCAGGACTCCTTGTTACATATGTTTGGTCATTTAGAAAATATTGGCTCATTATGTAATGCAAATCTTTCAAATGGAACCACATTTCATTATAGAATATCAACAAAATCACATTAATAGTATACCACACTCATACAGAAAAGAAAGCATGTAAGTTTTAGAGGCAAGTCCTCCAAAATTTCAATTTTCGTTTGAAATTGCAAACTTTTTTCATTTACCGCAAATATAGGAGGGCTTCAAAGATTTATGGGAAAATTCCATTATCTTTTCATTCATTGTTCCATGAATTTTTTTAAAGCCCCCTAATAATTCAAGGAGGAGCTGTGGTAGCATAGTGGTTACGAATCAGGCTGTGAGCCGCAAGGTCAGCAGTTCGAAACTACCAGCTGTTCTGTGGGAGAAAGATGAGGCTTTCTGCTCCCGTAAAGATTTCCAGCCTCGGAAACCCTGTACCAGGGTCGCTATGAGTCGGAACCGACTCCACGGCACATCACAACAACAACAATAATTCAAGGAGAACAATTGTCAGGGACAAAGGCTTACTTTGTTCATTTCATTACCAAGAAAATGTCTGACAAATACCCAACTGTAACTAAGTATAATTTGTTAATCTTTCAAATAGAAATGGCAGATTTTCAAGGGAAAAGTGACTAGTTTAGCTCATAACTCAAACATTACTGATGTGCTGGTTTGTTTTTTGTGTTTCCTATGAGGCAACCACCTTGTTTTGTGCATCCTTATTGATTTGTCACACAGAATTTAGGCCTTTTCATCCATCTCTGGATAGATTAGAACCTTCAGCCTTTAGGTTTACAATTGAGTATAAACTGCTTGTGCCACCCAGGCTCCCTAGAAGCTTCATGAAATCTAGGTTAAACTATTTTTGGCAAGAATGTTTCAAAGGTGACATTGCTTATTCCATATTGCTTCATACACATCAGGAGCATCAGAACTAATTTTTATTCTTCACTTTATACTGTTGAATCATCTAGTTAAACTTGGGATTACCAGCGCTTGGAAAACCCCCATTGCCATTGAGTTGTTTCTGACTCACACTGACCCTATAGGGCAGAGTAGAATGGAAACTAACCCTTTATATAAAGGGAGCAGAGAGTCTTATCTTTCTCCACCGCTGTGACTATGGAGGTTTGAACTGCTGACCTTAAGGTTGTCAGCCTGGTGTGCGACCCACTGTGCCAACAAGGCTCCTCTTCAGAAACAAAAGGTGCTTTATTGTGCTTTCCATAAAGGTTTTCACAACAATTTAGGTTCTCATTCAGCAATTTCTATACACCTTAGTAACACTGGTTGCATTCTTTATAATGTGTAAGCATTCCCATTGTTTACATTCTGGTGGTTCTAGTTTATCTGTCTCCTTATATTCTTAATTGTGTTTTAAAGTAGTTGTTGACTGTTTGGTCTCATACGTGTTTTTTGTAAAAGGAACACAGTACTTGTGGGTAATAATGATTATTTTTGATCGAATTGGTGACATACCTGCAAGGTAACCTTGGGTTAGTTCTGGTTCAAGGGTTGAAAGGTATCTTAGGACAGTAGTCTCAGGGAGTCTGCGGGTCTCTACCAATCCACTAGATCTGTTGTTTCTCATGTTTGTTTGTTTGAAGAATTTAAGGTTCTGTTTTATATTTTTTTCCCCTTCTATCATGGGTCATCTGTTTTAGCCCTAATTTAAGAAATCTTGGAAGGATTCCTGGTGTGATGTTGTAGGAGAAGCATGGGACTGTGAACCATAAGGTTGGCAGTTCAAACCCATCAGCAGTTCCTTGGAAACCCTACATAGGGTCGCTATGAGTCGGAACCGACTTCACAACATTTAACAACAACAACACACCAACAAAGAATGGTTGATAGTGATAGCCAGGCACTATCTAATTCTTCTGGTCTCAGGATAAATAAGACTGTGGTTTGTTCAGACTTTGTCCTCTGTAGACTAGCTTCTTTGTTGAAGGAGCGCTGGCAGTATAGTGGATTACTAACTGGGCTAGTAATCCAGCATTTCAAATCTACTAGTTGCTCCATGAGAGAAAGATGAGGTTTTTTTGCTCCTGTAAACCTTTTCAGCCTCAGAAACCCTATATAGGGTCGTTATGAGTCTGAACCGACTTGATGGCATACCACCACCACCTTCTCCTTTAAGACTTTGGTTCCCTTCTTTCTCTTCTGCTCCAGACTAGTAGAGGTCAATAGTTTGATCTTAGATGGCAAGTTGCAGACTTTTAAGACCCCAGACACTGCTCACTAACCTAGGATATAGAATACAACTTTATGAATTATATTATGTCAGTTACCCAAGATGTACCTTGAGACTATGATCCTAATTCTTAAAACCCAGACAGTTCTGGAGGTGTTTGTTTGTGTCTAAGAAGTATCTGTAATTGTGCTCCTTATGTGTTAATGTGTCTATAGCTTGTTAAGTGCCACTGAGTCAGTTCTGACTCATAGGACCCTGCATAGGGTTTCCATGGAATGGCTGGTAAGCTTGACCTGCTGATTTTATGGTTCAAACAGACCTGCAGTCCAGCCATGGCTCTACACCAGGACTCATATCTTATTATAATCTTATTATTATCTATCGTATAGATGCATATAAGTCTCATTTATTGTACTGTGTTAGCTTGCATGTTGCTATAAAGCTGGAAGCTATGCCATTAGTGTTTTACTTTTCTTAAACTTTGTATTATGAATTGAGTAGAAGTTTACAAGGCAGGCTATTGGTTTTACATAGAATAAATCTTATTCTGCTGCATTGCAATGATATTCAATCCTCTCCATGTACCACCAGTCAAACAGTATTTACCTCTGTTCCTTTTTTATTCCTTTTGATGTACACATACACATTCATTTAAATGTCCAAAAGACACTTTGTAAGCCAGCCTCCTGCCCGAAGGCACACAAGGCCTTTCTCCATCAATGGGCTGAGAGTCCTCAGCTGCTCTATTTGTCTATACTGTCACCACTTTTCTGGTTAGCATCTTCCGTTCCAGTCATGCTCTTCTCTCTTGTTGGTCCTAGGGTCCTCGGTTCCTGAAATGGAAGAGTAACTACTCCTGCCTTTTAGTTATGCATCTACTACGTTTATACTTGTGACAATCGCAGTTAGTCCTGATAACAATTACACACACAATTGAATCTTAAAATCATACCCCCATTCTTCCTCATCCCTTTGTACCAGACCCATTTGGAAAAGAGGAAAACTAGTCAGTGGGTATTCTACCTAACACCTCATTCTGAAACTAAGTACCTTCATGAAAGCTTGTTGTAAGTCAACCACTTTATTCCTTTCTAACCCTCTTTATTTTTTTTTAGTTTTTATTGAGAATAGAGTGATAGTTTACAGGGCAGATGATCAGTGTTGCACCTCTCCAATCCTATTTTGCTTCATTGCAATGATTAACAATCCCCTCCATGCACCATTGGTTAACAGTATTTGCCTCTATTCCCGCTTCTCTTTTTTTTGATGTACACAAAAACACGCAGGAATATGTAATCGTTTAAATGACCAAAGAGTAAAATTTGCAAGCCAGCCTCCTGCCCACCGGCACACATACGTTATCGTTCCATGGGTGTAGAGTCCTCAGCTGACTATCCCTCCATGCCATCACCTCTACCTCCCTCTCTGGTGTCCCTGGGTCTCTGGGTAGGATCCCATGCTCTGCTCATGCTCTACTCTTTTTTTTCTGAATGTTTTATTGTGAATTATGTGATAGTTTACATGGGAGAACATTAGTTTTACATTTATCCTATCGTATATCGTTTA